GTGTTTGTTTTCAAAATAAAAAAAATCCTTTTTAGAAATCAAGGTCATTCTTTGTCTCTGGACCTCTGCATCTGACCAGAACTAGATGGGTGGAAATGCCAACGTGGCAGAGGAAGATTGGACCATGTGATGGACTTGTGGGTGTGGGGACAAGTTCATGAACTTTCAACTGTGTGGAAACCCAGGAAGCCTTCAGATTCGGTTTTCAACAGATGTGCCAACATGTCTGTCTTATTAAATTGGAACTTTGATGAAAGTTATGTCTTGAACTCTGATTTAATTCTGGATGATATTTGGAATGCTGACATTCTGTTTTTAAGGAGTTAGCCCCTCTGCTTTGTTTCGTCTATTCACTATCTTAGATTAGCCCAAATACAAAGTTCTCCCTGAGCATTACACAGTCTTTTGGAGTACCTGAAGGAAAATGAGCAACTAAGGCAGAACTATTATCGTGGCACCTAGTTATATGTCTTGTTGGCCTGACAAACATGAAGAGGGGGACTTCTGAATGAGAATGAATACGGTATTCAGCTCTGTGCCATAATTCAAAGTGGTGGCCACTTAATTGGTGGTTTATCTGAATGGATGAATTATATGATGGTAAATAAAAGGAAATGTTCTTCTGGAGAAGATAATTATTGACTGGAGGCAGAAATTTGTTCATTCATTCACCACTGAATCTATCAAGGATTCCCAGTGGTTTGCAATAATAAATAAACATTTTTGCAGGAAAAGCAAACAATTCTCATTAGATAGGGGATGGACTTGCTAATACCTCACCATACCTCAAATTTAGCAGGATGACAAAATGCTTCCAGGAATTGCACACATTTGGGAATATTTCCACATTCAAAGTAAAACTATTTGTCTTCTGCGGTGGTTGGTTATATCGAAGGACAGTCTAATTGGAAAAAAATAGTTGCTATATTCAAATTTGTGTTGTAATGTGGGACAATGCTGAATACAATCCATGTATGAATAAAGTAGCATTTACTAATCTTGCTGTTCTCAAAAAAAATTACATAAAACCTCAATATTAAAAGCCAATTGAGAGGTAGGAGTCAAATCAAAATTTATAATAATATACATAAATTGGAAATAATTTACATAATTTATGTAGTTTATAGAAAAAGATATGCAGGTTTTACACAATTCACAGATATTTTATGGGGATTGTATATATATATATAGAATAGTGGAATTGGAATGGACCTTGGAGATATTCCAGTCCAACCCCCTGCTCAAGCAGGAGACCCTTTCCTATTTTGGACAAATGACTATCCAATCTATTCTTGAAAACTTCTAATGATGGAGCACCCACAACTTCTGCAGGTAAATTCGGATTGAGAGGAAATTTCCCCTTAGTTCTAGTTTGGATCTTTATTTGATAATCTTCTGCCGATTACTTCTTGTCCTGCCCTCAGGTGCTTTGGAGAATAGGTTGATTCACTTTTCTCTGTGACAGCCCCTCAAGTACTGGAAGACTGCTATCATATCACCTCTAGTCATTTTCATTGTTAGATTAGACATACCTTGTTCCCACAATCATTCATCATATGATTTAGACTTCTTATATCATCTTTGTTGCTCTTCTCTACACTCTTTCTAGGGTCTCAACATTGCATCATGACCAACAATGATGTAATAGTCTAAGTGTGGTCTCACTGGTGTAGTATAAAATGGTATTATCACTTCTGGTAAGCTTGAAACTCCCCCTATGTTGATGCAACATAGGACTGAATTAGGGCTTTTTGACAGGTACCCTACACTCTTGGCTCATATTTAAGTGGTGGCCTATTAGGACACTTAGATCCTGCTGTTGAGCATGGTACAATCTATTCTATGTGCATTTGCGTTTTCTTGCCTATGTGTAGGACCTTACTCTGACCACTAGGACAACTAGATCCATCTCACTTTTACTGCGGTTGAGCCACCTATCACCTATTCTATACCTGTGTATGCCTAAATGTAAGACTATTTTTCTCATTGCTGAATTGCATTTTGTAGGCTAGGGCCCAATTTTCAAGTCTGTCAAGATCCTTCTAGATCTTGAGCCTATCTTCTAAAAAGTTGGCTATTTACAGCAGTTGCTTGCCAAGTGCAAATTTGATGAGTTCCCCTTCTGTCTCCTCATCTAAATAAGTGATGAAGATGTTGAAGAGTACTGAGCCTAACTGCACAATGGGTATCCCACTGCATGCTTCCCTCCATGTAAAAGTAGTTCCATTACGGACTATACATTGAGTGAAGTTGGGCTGCCAACTTATGAATCCATCTGGTGGTGATGCTGTCTATTCCACATTTTTTTATCTTACCAAGAAGTAGGCTGTGGTCCATTTTATCAAATGCCCCAATGACCTCTCAGTAAGCTATATCCACAGTATTTCCCTGATCCACTAATTTTGTCACTTTGTCAAAGAATGCAATAAGGTTTGTCTGGCAAGATTTGTTTTTGATATACCCATGCTGGCTTCTAATAATAGCATTGCTTGTTTGTAGATATTCGAAGATCAGTTACTTGATTTTATTTTCCAGGATTTTCCCAAGTATTGATGTCAGGCTGATTGACCTATATTTTCATGGATCTACTTTTTCTCTTTTTTTGAAGATTGTAACTCAATAGCCCTTTGCCAATTGCCTGGCAGTTCCCTGGTGCTCTAGAAACTTTGAAAGATTTTGTTCAGTGGTTCTGAGATCACATCTTCCAGCTTCTTCAAAAACGTGGGATACAATCCATCTGATCCTGGTGATTTGAACTTGTATAGAGTAGCTAGGTGTTATCTTACCATTTTCTTGCCTATTTTGACTTGTATTCCTATTGTCTTTTAAGGTATCAAGATTTCACTCTGGACGTTTTCTAAAGGTGAAATATGTTCCTGGGATGAGAAGTATATGTAATTTAAAATCATTTATATGGCAANACTGAAAAAAAATTAGAGGGAACATTGCTGTCCAGTCTTTTCTTGAAAGCCTCCAGTGATGGAGCACCCACAACTTCTGGAGGCAAGCTGTTCCAATGGTCAATTGTCCTCACTGTTAGGAAGTTTCTCTTTAATTCCAGGTTGCTTCTCTCCTTGTGTAGTTTTTGTCCATTGTTTCTTGTCCTGACATCTGGTGCTTTGGAGAATAGGTTGGCCTCCTCTTTTCTGTGACAGCTCTTCAAATACTGGGAGACTGCTATTGTGTCACCCCTGGTCCTTCTGTTCATTAAAGTAGACATACCCAATTGCTATAACTGTTCTTCCTATGTTTTAGACAAACATATGAAACGGAGATGAGATCACATCACTCAGGTGAAAACTGCTGTGTTTCCCCAAAAATAAGACCCGGTCCTTTGAAAAGACCCATTAGGTCTTATTTTCAAGGGCTATCTTACTTTACAGCAGGTGGGAGGGGGCTGTGTATAAGGCGGCAGCCCAGGGTCAAAGCGCCAGCAGAATGCCAGAGGATCAGGGAGCTGAAGCCAGTGGGCATCCTGCCTGCAGCGCCTATGCCAGCTGCCCCTTCTGGCCAGAGCTGGAATGCTGCTGTGTTTAAGTGCCAGGTGATCCTGGTCTTCCCTCCGTTGGGCCTGGGCAATTTGCTTCCCCCAAGCATTTCTTTTGCCTACCTGATTTCCAGCTCCATCACATTTCTCCATTGCGTTTCTCGCTTTCGAGTACAGAGAAACAAAAGTTTGTGGGACTAAAAAAAAGTTCAATCAATCAATTCCAACTTCTTGTGAAAAAAAAATCTAACAAAGGTTGGAATTGATTTTTTTTTAAAGTCCCACAAACTTTTGTTCCCCTGCACATGAAGGCGAGAAACATGATGGAGAAACATGATGGAGCTGGAAATCAGGTTAGCAAGGAAATGCTTGGGGGAAGTGAGGGCATCTGGGCAGTGGTGGGTGGGGCAAGCTCCATAGCATGACCGTTGTACTGCAATGGAGAAATGGAAATGAAGCGGCTGGCAAGAGGGAAGGAGGAGGAGCAGGGAGAAGAAAGAGGAAAAGATCAGAGAAGCTTTTGTTAAATTATTTGAATCCCATCACTAGTCACAATCACACAAGATTCTCACTCAATGCCCTGCATGACCCTTTTTTAATGATGGCAACTATGGTTGCTGGAAATGCTGATTAGCAGTGTGGTTATGTTGTTTTCTGACTTATGATCACAATGCTTAACAATAGAGTTTGTGATCTCAATTAATGTTGTTAAATTAAGACTATCCATAGTACCATTAGTTCCTCCTTAGAAGTGGTGATAATGTCTTGTAATTGTTCTCATATCATCAGGGCAAGCCAACAAGATTTTGAAAACTGGCAATAACAGCAGTTTACTGAATTCCATAATAACAAGCATATATAATTCATAAGGATAATTTTTACTGCAAATGTTAGAAATATTTCTTAATATATCTGAGGAACAGCAGAAGATGAGAGTTAAGATTTTCTTACCTTCATCACAGATTTCTTCAGAGGAATGAATCCTGATACCATATTCACTTCTATTAGAGCCATATTACTTGTCTCTCGTTGACCTATGTAGCTAAACAAAGGAATTCCCAATCAAAACAGAAATGAAAATTCTGGGAAAGATTAATCCAGATGAGAAAAGAAGATGATTTTCTCCAGGTTCAAGAAACACTCACAGACTCCTTTTTCCCCAATGATAATTCTCTGAGCCAAAGTCAATGACAAGAGTAAACATGATTAGTAGCCTCAGCTTACGAAGTTTGAAGCAATTTCTGTGTCAGGCCTGCAATCATATTCCTTTTAGGATCTTTGGCCTGCCACATACTCTCTCTTTTTCTTTACTATGCTGTTTCATTAGTGGGAAATTGGGAGGTGGTAGGAGTAGAATGTGTTTGTTTTCAAAATAAAAAATTCCTTTCTAGAAATCAAGATCAAGGTCTTTGCACCTCTGCATCTGACCGGAACTAGATGGGTGGAAATGCCAACGTGGCAGAGGAAGATTGGACCATGTGATGGACTTGTG